GTACAATGGAAATGGCATTGATCCTATGCTCGTTTTGCAACCAACTGTCAACTGGTAGCGGACTAAACGGATGAAAAAATCATTTAAAAGGTTGGACTGTCCAATTGAAATATAATTTTGTGCCTCGAGATATTTTTTAATGTTGTTTTATCCCAAGTAGGATACTCACGATGTAATTAGTTCGGATATAACCTTTCCATATCATTCAAATCACGAGACGAGGATAGGGACATGTGTCAAACGTGCATGGGGACAGATGAGCGAGCGTAGGGACATGGGACTTTCCACGTTTATGGACGATTATTTATTAAAAAATAGTGATTATCGTGATTAATATAAGTGAATTCTAATTCTGAAGTTTTTACTTTCTGATATCTAATTTAAAACATCGCATCTTTACACTCATTTCAATAGAAATATTGGACTAATGATGTGTTCACCTCTGTCACACGAGCGTAGGATCATTTATCTTAGTTAAATTCGTGGTGGCAAGGGCTGAATGAATTTTCTTCGGCTTCGTGGCGATCGGAATTTTAGTGTTTACGTGACGCCGGGCGGTTATTGTCAGGGGATTAATTTCGCTGTTTATTCATTTATGAGAGTATTTGGATTGTATGAGCCGGTCGATGGGAGTCGGTTGGGGTAATCCAGTTGTGTTCGGCGTAATCCCGAAGGCGCCAATCGCAGTTTCATAACACAACTGATTCTTGTGTTGAATCGGAGCACTCGGCGAGGCAAATGTAAACATTCGGTCGATAATTTGGAGGCTTTCGATGGAATTGCGGAATTCTGGGGCATTTCAGGCTTCAGATTTTTTTCTGGATTATAAGTGTTGTTAATTAATTATTGGAAGAGGACAATTACTAATTTCTAATTTCACAATTTATGTAAATTGAGGATTGGAACACGCGAATGGTAATAAAATAATAGATTAGACTTACTCCAAAAGCAGTAAACAAATTGAGTTGATACAGTCGTTAACAATTGTCTTCAAATCTGTAAATATTCAGTTAATAATTTGGAGGTTTTAATACTCATTCGATGAAATTTTGGAATCTTGGGGGATTTCGTGCTTTAAAATTTCTTCTAAATTACAAATCTCATTAATTAATTCTTGGAAGAAGATAATAAGAATCAATGAATCACATTCACTCCGAAAAGAGTTGGAAATTTATGGGAAACTCAATGTAAAATACTATTTCATTTCCACTAATGAAATTTTAACTATAAATTTTTTAAATGATAAAAATCTATCAACACTTGCCATTTCTTATGAATGATAAGTCTTGTAAATTGACTATTGGAACAAGCGAATGATAATAAAATAATAAATCAAATTTACTCCAAACACAATTGTTAACAAATGTTTTCAAATTTGTAAACATTCGGTTTATAATTTGGAGATTTCTGTATTCATTCAGTGGAATTGTGGAATTTTCGGGAATTTATTGCTTTAGAATTTCTTCTGAATCAATTATTAAAAGATGAAAATAAGAATGAATCAATCAATTGTACTCCAAAAACAGTAATTCATAAACAATTGCAGATTTGAAAAAAATTTATCGAAAACTCAAGGTGAAGTGGAATCTATTTTATTTAATTAATCAAATTTCACCTATGAAATTTTTCAATTTATAAAAATCCATTTTCTTTTCTTATGAATTATAATTCTTACAAATTCACTATTTGGAACAAATGAATAATGATAAAAGGGTGAAGAAAATTTGCTCTGAAGACAGTTGTTATCAAATGTATTCAAAGTTAACCGTAATGTCACAATTTTTCTAGACACATTTTTGTGTAATTCCATTACGAAAGATATCCATCGAAAACCCAGTGCAGAATAGAGCTGATCCATCTTGTTTTCATCAGTGAAATTTGAATGAATTTATTCAATATTCATCAAATTATCGTGAATGCAATCAATTGAATATGCACCAACAACATGAATCAAATTACTTGAATTCAATTGTATATTCTGTTTGTATTTCGCATTTTGTTGGCAAGAAATAATATTTTTGTGTTATCTACTAACGCATAAAATACAATCCATTTTTATCATTGCCCTACATTTCGAAAAAGAACGCATTTCAAGTCTCAACTAATAAATTCTCACATGCATAATGCATACACCGGTGAATAGGACTTCATGTTGCCATTGTTGATGGCGCCCTCGACGCTCCTTACAATTTCCCATCGCCCTTTTCATCACGAAATATTCCCTCGGTATTGGAGTCCCAATTCGGTATTGCCATCGCATTCCGAAAGCATTTAAAATTTGTTGAATGAAATTTTTGGTACAGTTTTTGAAAATTTTGATGAATTCATTATTTCGACTGTTTTTGCAATAACATTTGCGATCGTTTTGGGCCACAGTCGGTCAGTTGCCGGTAGAAAAAAAATTGAATGTTTAAAAACTCAAAAAACTCCATAAAATTGAAGGAAAAAAATTGCACAACGGTTCGAGTTTCTTGAAAATTTTATTCACGTTATAGTTCCACTGAAAATCCGAAGAATTTCGTCATTGAAAATTCAGAAGTTGATAAAACAATTAATGGAAACTGTAAATTTTAGCTCAATTATTACGTGAAAATTAATAAAAATGAGGGAAATCGATTTGAACTTCATTGAATTTTTGGTGAAATATGAAATTGATATTTTTTCTCTCTGAATTAAATTTAATGTCCGTCTCCTGAAAATTTCTACCAAAGTGTGCAAGAATTTTTAAATGAATTTATTTTCAGAAATTTTTATTCCGTTATTTTTTTACTGAAATTTCAAGGAATTTCGTCATTGAAAATTCACAAGTCGATGAAAGAATCAATGGGAACCGTAGATTTCAGTTTAATTATTTCACGAAAGTTAATAGAAATCAGAGATATTGAGGTCAATATACTCTTGAATTTCCAATTAATTTGATACTAAATATTCATGCTTTTATTAAAAATTCAGATAAAATGAGAAATTGTTCTTTTTTTGCTACTCAAAAATTCAGAACTTCATTAAATTTCTACTGAACTTCGAAACTTCATGATTTTTTTCCTTCGAAGTCGCATTTTATGTCGCTCCCTTCAAAACGATTTCATTTTTTCAACAGTGTGTTTAAGAGAATTATTCAGTTATGCAAATGCAACAGCTCTGTAATTTCGTGCAATTCTTTCTCGTTTCAGCTACCAAAGTGACCGGGACTGTGAAGTGGTTCAACGTGAAGAGTGGCTATGGGTTTATCAACAGGTCAGTGTTAATCATCTTTTTTCATCGATTCTTTTTTTCACATCCTCTTTTCCTCCAATTATTCCACCTTCTCTTTCGTTTTTTCTCGCTTCAGGAGTCTGCTTTTACGCTCGTAGTGAGTAATCCCGAGTTAGTCATAGGTTTTTTTTATTATAGTAGTCACAGGTTTTGATGAGAGACTTCATACCTGACGAATTTTTTCATGAACTGTTGAGTTATTATGTTAAATCGTATAGAAAAGGCAGATTTTGTCTGCCAATTTATGACTTCATCAGCCATTTTAATAAGTAGACGTCAATATGAGTAACTTTTAGAATAAAATGTTCAATTCTTCTAGAATATTATTGTAAAACCACATTTTACAATAATAAATAAAACTCTTTATTCACTATTTCTGTATTAATTTCAATTTCATGAAACAAATAAGTCATTCACTCCGAATAAAACTTTCACTATGACCCTTCATTTGGATCAAAGAAACATTAATTTATATTCAAAAAACTATTCATTTGATGTCAATAAAAGCCCGAATAAAAATTAAATTTAAGTTTGAATAAAAGTTTCATTACAAGCTATTTAATAAACCCATTCAGTCTATTCAAATGACGTTTATTTGAATAAAATAAACCATTTTCTGGCCGTACCCGAACAATTCAACATGAATACAAATATTTTGCAAATATGCACTCGTTCTCACCTGTCCCCAAACCCGAAATTTCAGTCTATTTTATTTCCATCTGTACCATAAAATCGAAATGTTATTTCTGGGTCTCCATTTGCCTGGCAAATTTCCAATAAGATTCTCACTCATTCGAGAAGTAATTTCTGATTCCAACTGCGTTCACATCGACTCCCATCACTTGAGCACTCGTATAATCATGTTACGAACATCACAGGAAAATGTCAGTCGTGGAGTTTATGATTGCTTTCATCGTCGTCGAAACTTTTCCCCTAGAATTTGTAATGTCGAGGGGTTCAGTGCACTTAAACCTCCACCGGACCAATTCAAATACAATACCAAGAAACTATTGGACTCTGTGCAATTTTTCCTATTGCGTTCTGATGCCATAAAGTCATGTTCATATGTTCATCAATGAAAATGGCATTCATTCCCTCAATTTTGCAGTCTGTGAACATGAATACGATACTTTAACATTGACACAGCATTTTTTCGACGTGTGACGTAGTACCCATGACAAAACTCCTTCATTTTTCCACACATTTCATATTTTGCCTTCAGACTTTGTTCACAGAAATGATAATGCCCACATTTTTATTGCAAAATGTACACACGGAAAGAAATTAGAAAAATTTGGCTGCAAGCACTGGAAATAATATTGGGGGGCACGAGAATTTATCTTGAAAATTAGTCATTTTTTGGGATAAACAGTGACGAAATCTTTGCAGAGAATTATATTTTCAACGATATGAGAATGATTTAGAAGCAATTGAAATGGATCATGTTCCACTCTGAAATCCCTTCTGACATTTTTCCCTAAAATCCCTCGTTATTCACGTAATTATGATTTTATTTGTGATGGAATCCTCTAGTCATCCTCTTTTATGCCCCTCTTAATACAAAACGTCACACGTTCGAAGAAAATGCTGCATCAGTGTTAAAATATCCCTTAACTAACTCCTCATCTCATATAAAACTCATAATAACAAAAATAACAAATTCAACTGTTTAATTAATTCAGTTGAATGCAAGCGTAAAAATAATTTTCACTCCGATTTTGATTCATTGGATTTCAATCAATCCTACATAGGTCATTTCAATTCTGAATTTATCTAAAAAATAAGTCAGTTCAGCAAAAAATGCCGTGAAATGAGAATGATATATTTTATTCTTCTGTAGAAGCAATTGAAATAGATCACGCTATTTTTGCAATTATCTCTGGAACTAGTTATTTTAAACCAAAATGTCAAAATATCTTTTCTGCAGATTACAAAATTTCCAACAAAAAGTCTCTTCTGACATTTTCCCCTAAAACCCCTCCATTTCCGCAAAAAATGCCGCGAAATCTTCTTTCTAGAGAACTATACTTTCAGTACAATGAGAGTGTTTTATTTTATTCTTCTGTAGAAGCAACTAAAGCGGATCATTTAATTTTCGCAATTATCTCTGAAACGCGCGATTTTTCAACAAAATGTCAGAAGATCTTTCCTGCAGCTTACAAAATTCCCCACAAAAAATCTCTTCTCCCATTATCCCGTAAACCCCCCATTATTCATGTAATCACGATTTCAACACTGATAGCTTCCTCCAATCATCCTCTTTTATGCCCCCCTAAATAAAAACCATCACACGTATCACGAAAATGCTCCCTGCGTTGAAGCATGCCTTAACGACCCCCCCCCCCCCCCCCCCCCCCC